GGTATGGGCCTATGTGGACGAAGTAAAGTACTGCCTTTGATCTGGGCTGAACTACGTGGGCCATATTGCGGACGTAAAAGAAGACTTCGTTTACAATGTCCTGCATTGGGTTACCCGGACATGACGGCAGTGTGAGCGATGAGAGTAAGCATAGGAGGACGTCTCCCGCATCCCCTCAACTGCGGACAAATTTGCTGCCTTTCACGAAAGAATTACGTGTGGAGGTGGAGGAAAATGAGTCGACACAGTCACTCTCTCAGCCAGGGTTTGGGTCAGATGCGGTTGTGTAGCCGCACCTGAGGTTAGCAAACCCCAGCCACCTGTAATACGGGATCGGTGGTAATAGGGGTTTTTGCAGGTGGGGCCGGGAAACGCACAGGCGACGAGGTCAAGTAGTTGTATGCAGAGGAAAAGCTATTGGGAATGCGCGGTTGTACTTTGAGTGTTTGAGAAACAGTTGCCCTAACCCCTAGCCATAACCCCTAACCCCAACTCCAATAGTATTGTGTCCATCAGGTGGGGCTACATAACCACATCTTACCATCTGGTAGGCAGTTCTCGATAGTAACCCTACCCCGTCCACATACTTTATCCTTACCGAATAGAGGTCATGGCCTAGGTTCGACGGCCAAACACCATCCATCTAAATGGTCGAAAACCGGAATAGGGTCAGCTGGAGGGCGAACAAAATGCAAACAACAAGGAAAAAATCCCAGTAACGGAGGCGTCCATTTTTTGTCTCACACTTGCGAACTGTTCTAAAAGCGTTTCATGAAATAAAAAACAAGTAGGAATTTAAACCACTTGCCGAGTTTGTCGACTTTGAGACGATCGATTTTTGCCCTCGCCTCCTCTGCCTTTTGAAGGCTTGACAATTTCTTACCCTATCAGTCGTAAACTTGATTATGAGTGGTTGAGCCTTTGGGGGGGAGGGGGGGGGGAGTAGGTTTAGTGGGCAACTACGGGATCGGAAACTGCAGCATTCAGAAAGGTCATTAACACAAGACAAATAGGACACTTTGACAGGAATCAGCCTTAGTCTCACAAACGTAGCTGCGTCTGTACTCTACTCGAAAGAATTGGAATGCATTGCAGCACACCAGCCGATTCAAACTCGCAGCTTGTAACGAGCATTTGAATGGACTGGTCATGCTTGTGACCTTCAAAGAGCGGCAGTCTGAAGCCGAGGCAGCTCAGGGATGGCAACAGGCATACTGACATTCCTCAGACTTGAAAAGCCCTATGTCCTTACCAACACAAAGACAAAGCCAAGACGACAACGATGAATTTAATAAAACCCACCCGACCGCGAACTCAGCCAAAGGGGGTGCAAGGAAGGCGCTAGATCTGCCAATTGCCGCAGAAGCTGAACCACCTCTCATCGGGGCAACGAATAATAATGCAAGCAGGTGTCTAATCCACCAAAAAGTCAGATGCCGGGGCAGAAAATAAACGGGGAAGATCGATCGACTCAAGTTTGACTAACTAGACAAGTCATTTGAATTTCTGGTCGAGCTTGCGGATTTAGCGCTTTGGCAGTGGTGGACCCGACCAAGTTCTGCGGAAGATCGGCAATATAACAAGTCTGTTCAGAAGAGTCAACTGATTCGGTGTGGAAATTTCAGAGCTCACTGATTTCCGGCTCTCAGCTTGTCCATTCGACTTGCTAACTTTTTTTTTATCAGACTGCATGCAGCAACGCCTGAATGTAAGCATTCATACGCACTGCCAGTCGTCCGTTTGCCAATGCCGGAATAACTGGTTGGACAGTAATGACACCGATGTGGTAACTGATTCCCAATATGACCAAACAGATGAAATGTGTCCAAATTTACGAATGATTGCTAATCACTCGAAAATCGACACCAATGCATGGACCCAATATCTATGTTAATAAAGAACAACTTTAAGGAACACAAAACAGAATAAATGTTAAAGGTAATACTGCGTTGTATAGAAATACCACTTTTTTCAGAAAAGCAGAAAATTCCGAGAATGTCAAAATGCTCCTAATTGTGTAAACTTCAGTTTTCGATGTACAGAAATCCTGTCCATGCAAAAAAAACTGAAAAAGGGCAGTAAAAATAGAATAATGTTTTACAATGATCTCCTGGCGAAGTTTACAATGGAAACATCTTTTAAGAACTAAAGTTTCGAAAACTCCCGCGGAGCCATTCAGAAGACCATCTGGCGAGCATACGCATGCTTTCGATGAATTCTCATCCGAGCATTGCATTTTTATGGGAATGAGGTACAAGGTAAAAAGTGTGATCGATAAGAGAGTTGGTGTAATGTAATGTCCGGTATGGCGGCTTGCTAACAGCTTACATTCGGAGTATAGATTTCGGAACGGTTCTGTATGATTTCTTTGTATTTTCTACTATTTGCATTGGTTGAGATGCTGTTCAGTAGGGATGCCAGAGGTATAAATGTTTTGATAAGGTCGCATGTTGTCAGGCGGGTCGGTAGCCAATAAATTGAAGCACATTTGGCAGATTTAATCGCAAGCATGTCATTTTGAGTGTATAAAGAAGACTTTTCTTCCGTGGAATTTATTTGCACTTTTCGTTTGTCCCGGACTACGTTGAGTTTCAGATCGGTCGTGAGTATCGCTGAATGTTTTAGGATTTTCAGTGTTTTCAATAGACAGCCCATAAAGACGGATTATGGATTATGTGTTTATTTAAAACTTTAAAAATAAGATACTTCGCGAGGCCATTTATCGAATTAGTGAGTGTTTAGGAGTTCTTTTTCATTTAGATGGTCATTTGGGTCACATATGAACTCAGTCAAACAGGAAACTTCGTCGTTTAATAAAATGAACGTCCACAATGAAACCCAACAACAAATATGCTTTTCACCAACTAGACGACCTTCTCTGATTAGTTCTTTTTAAAGAGTGCTTTACTACTGTACTCTATTGACGGATGTCTGTGTACTTTATATTTTTGCACGGTGAAGCCAGGGAAAAGTTTGACACTGTTGGTCGTATCTTCCGCGCTGCTAAAAAATGCTGATGTTTTATCAATCAAAAACGCAAGAACATGCCTTAAATAAAATCGTATATTCGTCTATGCCTCTAAGAAGTTACCATACAGCGTTCACAAAATTTTGCAATGACTACGGACTACGTTGTACATTTCATGAGGAGCATTGATAAACGGACAGGTAAGATGTTGTATGAATGGACATTGCACGGTCTTAAAACATCTCATGATTAGAAACTGTTTAAAACCGAAATATACCCTTCCTTCGAGTATAAAATGCGAGGACAACGTGATTTTCTAACAAACGAGAACAAGAAAGCATGTTTTATGCATGTATTCTATAAAATATGTCTGAATTTATAGGAATATCGAAAGTCAATATGAAAAATGAGTACTAATTAAGCCGTCATCTTTTACCGAGTGCGGTTTCTACAGGAGGTCGAAAAGAAGTGCATTCAAAGGCCGATATCCTGGAAAGTCTGAAATATCATCGGATTATGCCGCATGATAATCAATACTACAACCCCATCCAAGTTATCCTTCCTAATCGACAACGCATTTCAGAACTTCAGCCAATATTTAATGAGATTGTTCACTCACTGCAGCTTCTCTTCGAAAGCAGGACAGAAGTAAGACAGATCAGAGGCGTACACGACACACGCCT